TCGACATTATTTAAGCCTTTGATGCATACTGCCAAATTGCTTTCCAAAAGATGTTTAGCAAATCATTTTTCCACCAGAACGTGGGACTACTCGTTCCTCACATCAACATAAGCCTTCAGTGTTACCAGCTTTTTAAACTTCAAATTTGAAAGGCTACAAATTATCTTTTACTTTGTACTTTTTTTTTTTATTACTAGTGAGATACAAAATGTCCTGTGTTTATTGTGTTTTATCTGCATCCTTTGACTGTTTATTGGGTTCTTACTGTTCGTTTTCAGTTCTGTGTGCTGTTTATAGAATAAAAATATTAAGCCCATTGTCTATAAAATATTTCCCTAGTCTGAAGTTTGCCTTTCATTGTTGGCTACCATTTCAGAGTAGGGCAGGGTTTTCACTTTTGGAAAAAAAAGTTACAAAAAGTAACAAAAGTTAAAGTTTCTTTTGTTTTTGTTTTTGTTTTTGTTTTTGTTTGACACAGGCTGGCTCTGTCGCCCAGTCTGGAATGCAGTGGTGCGAACTCTGCTCACTGCAGCCTCTGCCTCCCCGATATAAGCAATTCTGTTTCAGCCTTCCCAGTAGCTGGAACTACAGGCGTGTGCCACCACACCCGGCTAATTTTGTATTTTTAGTAGAAATGTGGTTTTGCTATGTTGCCCAGGCTGATGTAGAACTCCTGACCTCAGGCGATTCACCCGCCTCGCCTCGGCCACCCAAAGTGCTGGGATTCAGGCCTCAGCTACTGCACCCAGCCAAAGAATTTTTAAAAATAAACCTGTCTGGTCAGACAGGGTGGCTCGCCCCTGTAATTCCAGCACTTTGGGAGGCCGACGTGGGCAAATTGCCTGAGCTCAAGAGTTCGTGATCATCCTGGACAACACAGAGAAACCCTGTCTCTATTAAAATACAAAAAATTAGCCGGGAGTGGCAGCGCATGCCTGTAATTCCAGCTACTCAGGAGGCTGAGGCAGAAGAATCGCTTGAACCCCAGAGGCAGAGGCTGCAGTGAGCTGAGATCGCACCACTGCACTCCAGCCTGGGTGACAGAGTGAGACTCCGTCTCAAAAAATAAATAGGCTGGGAGCAGTGGCTCACACCTGTAATCCCAGCTGTTTGGGAGGCTGAGGCAGGCAGATCATGAGGTCAAGGGATTGAGACCATCCTGGCCAACATGATGAAAACCCATCTCTGCTAAAAATACAAAAATTAGTGGGGCGTGGTAGCACATGCCTGTAATCCCAGCTACTAGGGAGGCTGAGGCAGGAAAAATGCTTGAACCCTGGAGGTGGAGGTTGTAGTGAGCTGAGATCAGGCCACTGCACTCCAGCCTGGCGACAGATTGAGACTCTATCTCAAAAAATAAATAAATAAAATAAACCTGTCTATTTCCTTGTGATTTCTTCCATTTTCTCTAATCTTAGTTAAATACTCACTCTTTCAACAGCTTCTTTTCTGTCAGGTTCAAGAATTGATGAGGGTCAGGCACACTGGCTCACACCTATAATCCCAGCACTCTGGGAGGCTGAAGCAGGAGGGTCACTTGAGTCCAGAGTTCCAGAGGAGTCTGGGCAACAGAGGGAGACTCAATCTCTACAATAAATTAAAAAATAAAAAAAAAATTAGCCAGGCATGGTAGTGCACATCTGTAGCCCCAACTACTCAGGAGGCTGAGGTGGGACAATCACTCGAGTCCAGGAAGTCAAGGCTACAGTAAGCCAAGCCACTGCACTCCAGCCTGGGTGACAGAATTGATGGAGACGTCTGCGCTGTTTTGTCCTACATTTTGTTAAACAAAAAAGAAAGATTATCCCTGTTTTCCCTGTGAACATTTGACTTTCCTTGACTCACCATTTTTTTTGTTTTTTTGTTTTTTGAGATGAAGTCTCCCTGTGTTGCCCAGGCTAAAGTACAATGGTGCAATCTTTGCTCACTGCAACCTCCGTCTCCCAGGTTCAAGCGATTCTCCTGCCTCAGTCCCCTGAGTAGCTGGGACTACAGGTGCACGTCCACCATGCCCAGCTAATTTTTGTATTTTTAGTACAAATGGGGTTTCACCATGTTGTCCAGGCTGGTCTCAAACTCCTAACCTCAGATGATCTGCCTGCCTCAGCCTCCCAAAGTGCTAGGATTACAGGCGTGAGCCACTGTGCCAGGCCCTTGACTCACTTTTTGATTAGTACCTTGAAATGTGCTCACTGGGACTGGGGGCTGCAGAAGGATGTATATGTATATGCGTCCAAAAAAATCTGGAAGAATTGTACTAAAAATGTGAACACTGGCAATCTCTGGTTGGTGGGAGCCTGGCTGAGAGGGATGTGTTAATCTTGTCTCCCTGGCACCCCTAATTCCTTTGGACAAGATACCTCTTCCATTCCTCATGGCTGCCCATTACAGTACACTTGTTCAATATAGCACCCTAATTCTCCTGGCAACAGTTTTGGAGGCCAAGGGGTGAACATGTCACCATATCACTCAAACAGAGCCAGAGTCCTTCCCTGAGTCTGAGATAGGAAATTGGGAGGACGCTTTCCTTCTACTGTGTTTAATTAGAAAGCTGGGACTGCCTCACTCCATGTTTCCTGCCAAGTAGAAGATCACTCTGCAGAGAAAAAGAGGCCAACATGTGAAGAGAAATCAAGACAAGGGCTGGGGGGTGGTGGCTCACACCTGTAATCCCAGCACTTTGGGAGGCCAAGGCAGGTGGATCATGAGGTCAAGAGATCGAGACCATCCTGGTCAACATGGTGAAACCATATCTCTACTAAAAAAAATACACAAAATTAGCTGGGCATGGTGGCGCGTGCCTGTAATCCCAGCTACTCAGGAGGCTGAGGCAGGAGAATTGCCTGAACCCAGGAGGCAGAGGTTGCAGTGAGCCGAGATCGCGCCATTGCACTCCAGCCTGGGTAACAAGAGTGAAACTCCGTCTAAAAAAAAAAAAAAGGAAAAAGAAAAAAAATCAAGACAAGGAGAGAGGAGAGAAGACAGAGAAAGCAAATTCTAAGAGTACTACATCTCCAGTTCCAGTTTCCAAGCCCTGATCCCTGGTGTTTTTCCTGCAATTTTGTGCAGCTATTGTGAACTATAGATTCCTCTTGGATGAAGCTGGTTTAGATTGGGATTCTGTCACTTAGGAAGTGAAAAAAAATCTCATCAGGTAGTCTGTGTGTTTTTTTAATATGTTATGCAATTTTCCTGCCATGACCATGTATCACTTGTTCAGTAGAAATACAAAGTAAAGATAATGTGTTTGTTAAAGAAAGCATGAGTGCACTCAGAAATGCTCAAAAGCAGGAAAAATATAGAGCACACCATAGAAGTTGTACAAGTTGGCTGGGCTTCGTGGCTCACGCCTGTAATCTTAGCACTTTGGGAGGCTGAGGCCAGTGGATGACCTGAGGTTGGGAGTTCAAGACCAGCCTGACCAATATGGTGAAGCCCCATCTCTACTAAAAATACAAAAATTAGTTGGGCGTGCTGGTTCACGCCTGTAGTCCCAGCTATTTGGGAAGCTGAGGCAGGAGAATGATTTGAACCCAGGAGGTAGAGGTTGCAGTGAGGTGAGATGGCACCATTGCACTTCAGCCTGGGTGACAGAGTGAGACTCTTTCAAAAAGAAGAAGAAGAGAAGAAGTTGTACAAGCCTCGGAAGGACAAAGGCCACCTTATCACCCAGGGAGTGCTGTCATCAAGATAAACAGGAATTTGTGGTAAAAAGAACCCCCAGTTCAGTGGGTGTGCTTGGTGGGTATAGCAGAGAGTCGGGGCTCAGCCCTGAGCAGGAGATTGATTTTTTCCATAAACTAAGAAATCTGAGATACTGAGATTTGGAAGAGGGATCCCTTAACCCCCACTTCCTGGCCAAATCGAGTTCTCTCTCTGAGCCTCAGTGTAGCTCTCATGTTTTGAATAGTGTTCTAGGCACTTCATATCATTATCTCATAGAATTCTCAGAACTCTGAGTCAATCATCAATATTCCCATGTTCCCAAGTAAGAAATTGAGGTTCAGAGAGGTAAAGCGTGACCAGGATCAGTTAGACTGCAAAGCCTTTCCAGGACCCTCAGCTGTTTTCCTCTCTCATCTGTTTTAAGATGGCCATAATAAATTGGCCAGGTGCAGTAGCTTATGCCTGTAATTCCAGCACTATGGGAAGTTGATTGGGGAGGATTGCTTGAGCCCAGGAGGTTGAGACCAGCCTGGCAATATAGTGAGACCCTCATCTCTACAAAAAATAAAAAAGTTAGCTAGGTGTGGTGACACTCACCTGTAGTCCCATCTACGTGGGAGGCTGAGGTAGGAGGATGACTTGAGCCCAGGAGCTTGAGGTTGCAGTGAGCAGTGATCATGCCACTGCACTGCAGCCTGGGTGACAGAGCAAGACCTTGTCTAAAAAATAAAATAAAATAAAAATAAATGAGTTGGGGATAAGCACTGTTCTCTCCCCATCACCAGCTGGAAAATGCAGGAATTCAGGAGTAGGGAGTGAGTGGCACTTGGAAGTCATTGAAGATAGAGTGGGGTCCCAAGCACCGTGCCTCCTCTGGCTGCCCCCAGTCCAGCCCCGTCCCCAATTCCTGTGAGTTGCTCCCTGTGCTCCCTCCTTCCACCCGGCACCAGATTTCTTCCGAAGGAAGGCCTTGCACAAGCCGACCTTTGGCCCCTTGCCTTCTGTCCTAGTTGCGGGCTCTGGCCCCCACCTCCCCTAACCTGGCTCCCAGCCATCGAACCCTGGAGCCCAGCCAGTCACGTAATTCCTCGGTCCTTTTTGGCCTGCTTCCTTCAGGATCCCGATTTAACTTCCCCCTCCCCACTTCCCTCTGCCCCAGGACCTCTGGGCACCACTACCCACTCTGAGGAGCAAGCGTCTGGGGCTGAAGCCTCAGCTCCGTCTTGCAGAGGGACCTGGGCCTCTGTTTTCCCACCTGCCAAATGGGGCCCCCACCCTACGGCAGCCTCAACTCTCTTCATTGCCTACTCTTTCCAGGTCCTTCCCCACTCCTCTGGTCCCCAAACCCCACCAGCCCCGCTTCTCCCTGCAGTTCTAAGGGCCTGTTTCCCTTCAGGGCACAGCGGGGTTGGGGAGAGCGGAAGGGCGACAGAGCCCTAAGAGAGGTTTCAGAATTGGTCTGAAAGAAAACCACCAGGCCGCAGGACGAGTTTGGCCGGCCTCTAGCCTCAGACAGACTGGGTTGGAATCCTGCTTTGCTTCCGACCACCTGCTGATTTGAAAATCATCTCTCTGGGCCTCAGTTGTCCCCGCTGTGAAATGGATCGCTGCTGAAGACCAAGGGCGGGAAGTGTCTAGCAGGAGATCTCTGACCAGAACCAGAGAGGTGGCCTCCAGCCGCGCCCCTTCCCCAGCCCGGGAGCGGCGCCTCGTCTCCCAATCCCGGGTCCCTCCGCCGCAGACTCCTCCTCCACTGACATCAGAGCCGCAGGCGGGCGGAGAGAGCCGGCCGAGCGAGCTGAGCTGGCGGAGCCGAGCGGAGCCTCAGCCCCAGCGAGAGAACGGGCGGGCGGCCCAGGCGCTCAGCGGTGCGGACCGCGGCCGGAGCTCAGCGCCAGCCACCGCGGGCCTCCCAGCCAGCCCCGCGGCGGGGCAGCTGCAGGTACAGCCTAGCCCCCCACTCCTGCACCCCTGGGCGCTGCGGAGGAGCGGCGGGAGCCCTCAGTCTCTGGGTATCCTTCCCTAAGGAGTGGCTACTGGGCACTCTCCCGGGCGGGCTGAACCCTGAGGGGCAGGGCTGGGCCTTTCTCCCCTCCCTCTGCCCCAGGCCCAGCAAGTGCCAGGTGGGCCCATGGGACACTGAGTGGGTAATAGAGGAGGGGGCCTGAGTGAGTGCCTTCAGCTGGCCTGACAGTTGAAGGGCGTGGGCATTTGGAGGTATCCATGGGGGGGGGGGTGCTTGCGGAGTGTACTAATGTCTTAAGACAGTCGTGTGGGTCAGACATGGGTGGGGGATCTGGGAATGCGAGTGTTTTTTTATTAGAGCGGTATCCACGTGTTGTGTGTGCTGGTATTTGACTCTAAGGGTCTCAAGTCAGAGTTAGGAGGGGGTATAGAACTGTGTACTGAGGATATTTGGAGTTAGGTGTGTACGGAGTTGGGGTTTGGTTTGGAATATTGGAGCTTCCAGGGGATGGGGTAGAGGAGCTGGAGGGTGTAGGGCATGTCTGGTATATGAGGGGGTGTGTGTCTGGGTGTCATTTTGCACAGGTGTGGGTGGATGTGTGTTTTGGGGTAGAAGAGGGAGCTGGGTGAGGGAGGTCTGGATAGACAGCCAGGTGTTCGAGTGTAAGGCTGTCTGGAGCAGTGTGTGGTGTAGACACGTGTGCTGATGTCTGGGAGTATATGTGTGGTCATGGGATCTGGATACAAGGTGTACTGTATCTAGGAGGCAGGTGTTTGAGTTCAGGGCTATGGAGGGAGCTTGGTGTGGGTGTCTGCTACAGGGATGTTTGAGGATCTGTGAGGGTTATATTTGCTAGGCCTCCAGGTCTGTCTCTACATCTTACACTCAAGTCTCCTTTCCTAGAAGTTTCTGCCCCTGGAATGAGTGGCCAGGGTCCCCTGGGAACAAGATCCTTTTCCAGGAGTTGAATCTCACACCAGAGGCTCTAGTCAGGACACCTGCTCCTCATTCTCCCTTAGAGGAAAAAAGAGAAGGAAAGTGCTCTCCCTGAGGTCACAAAGCATGCTGGGCTGTTTTGGCCTCATCCTCTGCGGATGGATTGAGAGGCTGTGTTCTCTGAATGGGGCCCATTCTGGCTTCATATTGGAAGGATCAGCTGAGGGCATTCCATGGCCTTTACCCTCAGCAAGCTTAGCTGGGGGCCATAGGCCAGGTGTCATTTGGGCCTCTGGACCCAGCCTCTACCCAACTCCAACCTCAGTCTCCCCATTCTTCATCTGATAAATGGGAGAGAACTCGCACCCTCTCCTGTTGGATAAGACAGATCTCAGCAGGGGAAGGGCCAGGCTGGATAGGATGAGATGGGGCCAGTAAGGGACAGAGTGGGTAGGACCATTTCTCAGGCTCCCGGGACCCAGATGGGGAGTCAGGAGGGAGAGGTCTGGGGAGCTCCAGCTGTGGCTGTTGTTGCTGTGGTAACAGTGCAGAAAGAGCTATTTTAAAATGTGGCTGAGATATTGCTGGAAGCCCAGGCTCCTGGAAACCTGATTTCCAAGAGGTCAGGGGGTGGGAGGGGGGGCGCGGAGGAGGAGGGCGAGGAGACACCCCAGCAATCTCCAGGGTGGGGTGGAGACATCACTAGTTCTAGGGACAAGGGGATCCTCCAAGCTTCTACTAGCTGCTCTTGGGGTTTATCTGTTGTACTGCCAGAGGTCGGGCTATCCCTGGGTGCTTGGATTTGGAGAGGGGGAAAACTGGGAAGTGAACTAGAATAAATGAATGAATGAATGCATGACTTTGTTAAATAAAGAATTTTGCTGTCACCATGAAAGGTTTTTCTCTAGGCATGAGAATTTGCCAAATGTTGAATAAACAAATATGTTTGTTGAATGATTTTGTCAAGTGGATGAATCTAGGATGAATAAATGCAGGTTGGATGACTGAATGGAGCCTGCAGCAAATTTCCAGACAGAAGACTGGGCTCCACTGAATCTCCTTCTTCCATTCTCCTTGCAGGAGCCCTGGCTGTGGCCGGGGGGCAGTGGGCCATGCCGGGGGCAGTGGAAGGCCCCAGGTGGAAGCAGGCGGAGGACATTAGGGACATTTACGACTTCAGAGATGTTCTGGGCACGTGAGTCCAGGGCAGGGCAGGATCGGGTGCTGGATGGCTGGGGGAGGCTGAGTCTAGGGTGGTGCTTCCTCTGGTCAATGCTTCCTGTTTCCCACAGCCTAGGCTCTGTGGCAGCACTGCCTAGGGTCTAAACTGTCCCCAGCTTTTCACTTCTGGATGACAATGGGTGGGACATGGGTTGCTCTTCCAATAGCCCTGGGTCCTTGAAGAAAAAGAAGTTGGGAGAATGGAGGTGCCAGTCAGTCCATCTAACTTGCTGCCAAGAGCTGGGTGTTGTGGCCTAGGTTTGGGAACTGAGGCTGGGGATGGCTCTGTTCTTGGTACTGTGAATGCAGAAATAACTCAGACCTGGTCTCTGCCCTTCAAGTTGATCCCAGACATGTGCAGGAGACAGACCCACAGAAAATGACTACAGGGTGTGTGCTGTGCTCCAGTTAAGGTTGGGATTGAGGGCTTTGTGGAGCCCAGAGAGAGCTGTGCCTTCTGCCTGAGGGAAAACTTCCTGGAGAATGGGGCACTGGAGCTGGGGAATGAAGGATGGGAAGGTATGCACTTGTCAGAGAAGAAGGGCATTACAGCCAGAAGGAATACCATAAACAAAGGCCTATAGAGGCATGCTTCATGTGAAAAGAGGTAGAGAGTGGTGGAGCTTAAAATCAGAGGCTCACCGGGCGCGATGGCTCACGCCTATAATCCCAGAACTTTGGGAGGCTGAGGTGGGCGGATCATGAGGTCAGGATATCGAAACCATCCTGGCTAACACACTTGAAACCCTGTCTCTACTAAGAATACAAAATCTAGCCAGGCATGGCGATGTGTGCCTGTAGTCCCAGCTACTTAGGAAGCTGAGACAGGAGAATCACTTGAACCTGGTAGGTAGAGGTTGCAATGAGACAAGATCGGGCCACTGCACTCCAGCCTGGGTGACAGAGCAAGACTCTATCTCAAAATAAGTAAATAAGTAAATAAATAAATAATAAAATAACATCAGAGGCTGGGGGGAGAGTGGAAAAGGAGGCTGGAGATGAAAGTGAGACAGCTTGTGTAGCATCTTGGAAGCCAGGCCACGGAGGCTAGATATTGTCCCATAGGCCACAGGGAGACATTTAAGACTTTTTGGCAGGTGTGCAATTCAGAATAGTCACTCTGGCCACAGCTTGGAGGGTAAATTGGAGGACAGGACTGGAAACCAGTGATGACTTTACTACAGTAACTACCCCTAAGGATTGAAATTTCACCATGAGAGATGCTTTTCTTTGACTTGACTTCTTAGTCTCCCAGAGAAACAAACAGATGTGGAAAGAATACCCTAGAAAATCCACCTTAATCAGTTAACTCTAGTTAAATGAGTTTGTTCCTTTTTAAGAGTTTGTTCTAAAGCGCTGCTTTTTTTTTTTTTTTTTTTTTTGAGACGGAGTCTTGCTCTGTCTCCCAGGCTAGAGTGCAGTGGCATGATCTCAGCTCATTGCAACCTCTGCCTCCTGGGTTCAAGCAATTCTCCACCGCACCTGGCTAATTTTAGTATTTTTAGTAGAGACAGGGTTTCACCATATTGACCAGGCTGGGCTTGAACTTCTGACCTTGTGAACCACCTGCCTCAGCCTCCCAAAATGCTGGGATTACAGGTGTGAGCCACCATGCCCAGCCAGTACTGCTTCTTAAAGTTCGGTGAGCATACAAATCACCTGAGGATTTTGTTAAACTGTGGATTCTGATTTAGTAAATCTGGGACAAGGCCTAAGGTTTTGCATTTTTCTTTTCTTTTCTTGAAACAGGATCCGAAATAGTAGAGATTTTGCATTTCTAAAAAAGTTCCCAGGTGATACTGAGGGTTCTTTAATGTTCTGGGTGTTAAATTAGCCAATGACTCAAATTAGCAAAAAAAGGGATGAATCAACTGCACACATAGTCAAAAAGCTGACTCGGGTAGACTTCAGGCATGGCTGGATCTAGAGGCCCACATAATGTTATCAGGAAATGTCTTTGACTATTTCTCAGGTTGGACTTCCTCTGTGTTGATTTCATTCCCAAGCAGGCTCTCCCCAGGTGGTGGAAAAGATGATCGCCATTAGCTCCAGGCTTACGTGGTACCAGCTCAGCAGGAGCCCCATTCTCAAAGTGCCAAGTAACCTGGCTTACATTCACGTGACCAATTACTGTGGTTAGGGGAGAGACTACTTTGACTGACCAGGCCTGGGTCATGTGACCACCTCTGGAACCAGGGGATGGTTGGGCGACTGGGGAGGGTCATCCACATCCTTGATCCAGCAGTGGTCACAGAACCCATAGGGCATGGAGGAGAGGCTGGAGGGAAGCTGGGGTTCCAGTTCTTCACCTTGTGAATCCCCTCTCCCCATAGGGGGGCCTTCTCAGAGGTGATCCTGGCAGAAGATAAGAGGACACAGAAGCTGGTGGCCATCAAATGCATCGCCAAGAAGGCCCTGGAGGGCAAGGAAGGCAGCATGGAGAATGAGATTGCTGTCCTGCACAAGTGCGTGGGCCACAGCTTTTCCCTGCCCCAAGTTGACCCTGTCTTGGCCCTCCCATCCTCCTCCTTCCCTGCTTTGGAAAAGTCATTTAAACTCTCTAAGCCTCAAACTGCTCATTTATAAAATGGGGATCGCAATTTCCACTTGGCAGGATTGTGGGGAATATCAGAGGACCTTTATTTCAAGGACCTGGCACACAGCTAACTTGACAGATGTGATGGAGATGCCAGTGCTTAGTAACAGGGGTTTCACTGTTCAATCAGGTGTAAAGATCCATCCTGAACGTGGCTTGAACCCACATATCTCAGTTGGTTTTGTCTCTGGACTGACTCAAGTTCCCCTCACATATTGAAGCCACTCAGCAAGTTTAAAAATGCCTGTCTGCTGACCCCCGTGACTAAGTCCACAACCAACTGGTCTATGAATTGCTCATGCTGATATGAAACCTCCTGTCTTCACTGGAAAACTTACAGAGAATCACTTCCAATCTCTCCCCTGAGCTTCCAACCACCCTGGGCAGATTTTTTTTTTTTTTGAGTTAGAGTCTCACTCTGTTCCCCTGGCTGGAGCGCGGTGGCACAATCTTGGTTTACTGCAACCAACCTCTGCCTCTTGTGTTCAAGCAATTCTCCTGCCTCAACCTGAATAGTAGCTGGAATTACAGGCACCTGCCACCATGCCTGGCTAATTTTCATATTTTTTATTTTTTTTTTTGAGACAGAGTTTCACTCTTGTTACCCAGGCTGGAATGCAATGGCGCGATCTCGGCTCACCGCAACCTCCGCCTCCTGGGTTCAGGCAATTCTCCTGTCTCAGCCTCCTGAGTAGCTGGGATTACAGGCACGCGCCACCATGCCCAGCTAATTTTTTGTATTTTTAGTAGAGACCGGGTTTCACCATATTGACCAGGATGGTCTCGATCTCTTGACCTCGTGATCCACCTGCCTCGGCCTCCCAAAGTGCTGGGATTACAGGTTTGAGCCATCGCGCCCGGCCTAATTTTCATATTTTTAATAGAGATGGGTTTTCGCTGTTGGCCCGGCTGGTCTCAGACTCCAGACTTCAGGTGATCCTCTCACCTTGGCCTCCCAAAGTGCTGGGATTACAGGCATGAGCCACCACTCCCAGTCCCTGGACAGAGCATTTCTAATGAGACCCAGAGAGGACAAGGGACTTGTATACAGTCACATGACAAGTCTGTGGCACAGCTGAGCCTTCCTCATCATCAAGATCAATTACTGCCTGACCAGCTTGGAGAAACCCCATCTCCACTAAAAATACAAAATTAGCCAGGCATGGTGGCATATGCCTGTAATCCCAGCTACTCAGGAGGCTGAGGCAGGAGAATCATTTGAATCCAGAAGGCAGAGGTTGCAGTGAGCCAAGATTGCACCATTCATTGCACTCTAGCCTGGGCAACAAGAGCGAGACTCCATCTCCAAAAAAAAAAAAAAAAAAAAAAAGAGCAATTACCATTATTGGTTCACTTATGAATATTTACTCTGTACCAGGCACTGCCAAGCACCTTACCTGCATTATCTCACATGATCCTCACTCCAACACTTTGAGGGAAGTACTACCACTGGCTTTATTTTATAGGTAAACTGAGGCTCAGAGAGGTTACATTAAATCTAGCACCTATCCTGTACCAGGTGCTGGAGAAACACTGACCATCAAGACAAAGCCTCTGGATTCAGGGAGCTTATGTCAGGTGGGGGAGGCTGATAAATGTGTAAACGTAGAACTCCCACCCCCCTTGTTTTTGAGACAGAGTCTCACTCTGTCGCCTAGGTTGGAGTTTAGTGGTGTGATCTCAGCTCACTGCAACCTCCGCCTCCCGGGTTCAGGCACTTCTCCTGCCTCAGCCTCCCGAGTAGCTGGGATTACAGGTGCCCATCACTACGCCCAACTACTTTTTCTGTATTTTTAGTAGAGACAGGGTTTCACCATGTTGGCCAGGTTGGTCTCCAACTCCTGACCTCATGATTCGCCCACCTCAGCCTCCCAAAGTGCTGAGATTACAGGCATGAGCCACTGCGAGATAGAGTTTCACTCTGTTGCCCAGGCTGGAGTGCAATGATGCGAATTTGGCTCACTTCAACCTCTGTTTCCTAGGTTCAAGCAATTCTCCTGCCTCAGCCTCCCCAGTAGCTGGGATTATAGGCATGTGCCACCATGCCTGGCTAATTTTTGTATTTTTAGTACAGACGAGGTTTCACCATGTTGGCCAGGCTGGTCTGGAGCTCCTGACCTCAAGTGATCCTCCTGCCTTGGCCTCCCAAAGTGCTGTGATTACAGGTGTGAGCCACCGCTTGACCAGAAAACTCTTTTTTTTTTTTTTTTTTTGAGGCGGAGTTTCACTCTTGTTACCCAGGCTGGAGTGCAATGGCGTGATCTCGGCTCACCGCAACCTCCGCCTCCTGGGTTCAAGCAATTCTCCTGCCTCAGCCTCCTGAGTAGCTGGGATTACAGGCATGCGCCACCATGCCCAGCTAATGTTTTGTATTTTTAGTAGAGATGGGGTTTCACTATGTTGACCAGGATGGTCTCGATCTCTTGACCTTGTGATCCACCCGCCTCGGCCTCCCAAAGTGCTGGGGTTACAGGCTTGAGCCACAGCGCCTGGCCCAGAAAACTCTTAAGAGGCATGTATCAGGCTGGTCGCAGTGGCTCACGTCTGTAATCCCAGCACTTTGGGAGGGCAAGGCAGGAGGATTGTTTGAGCCCAGGAATTTGACACTGACCTGGGCAACATGATGAAACCCTGTCTCTACCAAAAAATACAAAAATTAGCTAGGCATGGTGGTACGTGCCTGTAGACCCAGCTACTCAGGGGGCGCTGAGGTGGGAGCATCACCTGAGCCCAGGAGGTAAAGATTTTAGTGAGCTGTGATTGTGCCACTGTACTCCAGCCTAGGTGACAGAGTGAGACCCTGCCTCAGAAAAAAAAAAAAAGTTATATATCATCTGAGCACAGTGGTGAGCCTGCTGGTACCAGCTACTTGACAGAAGAGGATCACTTGAGCCCAGCAGTTCGAGGTTGTAGAGCCACTGCACTCCAGCCTAGACAACACAGGAGACTTCCATCGATTGAAAAAAAAAAAAAAAAAGTCATATTATTGATCATTGTCATGAAGTGAAAAGTCCTGCACCCAAATAGCAAAATGTGACAGAGGCAGGATTTGGCCCCAGGTCTGTGTGTGCCAGAGCCCAGTGTCTTTCCCTCTGCTCTCTCGCCTTCCAAGAAGTGATAATGAAGCATGGTAAGCCAGCTTTTCCCTTTGGGGCCTAGATCCTTGGTTTGTCCTACTCAGGTTTGCAGGCAGCGTGTGTGTGTTGAAAGGGGTGCGGTGCGAGCTGTCCTGAGCTCTAAACCACTTTTAATTTTTGAGGCAGAGTCCCACTCTGTCGCCCAGGCTGGAGTGCAATGGCACCATCTCAGCTCACTGCAACCTCCACCTCACGAGTTCAAGCCATTCTCCTGCCTCAGCCTCCCAAGTAGCTGGGATTACAGGTGCATGCCACCACATCCAGCTCATTTTTGTATTTTTAGTAGAGACAGGGTTTCGTCATGTTGGTCAGGCTGGTCTCAAACTCCTGACCTCGTGATCTGCCCTCCTTGGCCTTCCAAAGTGCTGAGATTACAGGCATGAGCCACCACGCCCGACCCATTTTTTTTTTTTTTTAAGGGTATCACTCTGTTGTCCAGGCTGGAGTATGGAGTACAGTGGCTATTCACAGGTGCAATCATAACAGATTGCAGCATCAAACTGCTGGGCCCAAGTGATTCTCCTGCCTCAGCCTCCCAAGTTCCCAAGTAGCTTGGACTACAGGTGCACATCACTATGCCTGGCTAAACCACCTCATTTCTCCTTTCAGGATCAAGCACCCCAACATTGTAGCCCTGGATGACATCTATGAGAGTGGGGGCCACCTTTACCTCATCATGCAGCTGTGAGTGGCCCCACCTCTGCACCGCCCCCCTCCCCACCCCTGACACACCTCTCCCTGCTGTCTCAGCCCTCTTGGCCAGACTGCCCTATCCCCTGTTGCAGGGTGTCGGGTGGGGAGCTGTTTGATCGTATTGTGGAAAAAGGCTTCTACACAGAGCGGGACGCCAGCCGCCTCATCTTCCAGGTGCTGGATGCTGTGAAGTACCTGCATGACCTGGGCATTGTACACCGGGATCTCAAGGTGAGGCTCGATGGGGTGTGGTGGGCTGGGGTACCCAGAGGTGTGGCCTTTGCAAACCCCAAACTGTCTCACCTTGGACAACTTTCACCCCCTCACTGAGCCTTGGATTTCCATCTTGTAATCCTTAAACTGCCTCCCCGCTTTCTAGTCCAGATACTCAAAAGGAACACAAAAGTGAATTGTGCTAGTATTTTATCCAAATAAAATTTTATGTCTTTTTCTAATTAAAAAAACAAAAACAAAAAACTCACCAGGCATGGTGGCTTATACCTGTAATCCCAGCACTTCAGGAGGCAAGACAGGTGGATCACTTAAGGTGAGGAGTTCGAGACCAGCCTGGCCAACATGGTGAAACCCCCAATTCTACCAAAAATACAAAAATTGGCCAGGTGTGGTGGCAGGTCCCTGTAATCCAAGCTACTTGGGAGGCTGAGGCAGGAGAATCACTTGAATCTGGGAGGCAGAGGTTGCAGTGAGCGAAGATTGAATCATTGCAGTCCAGCCTAGGTGACAGAGTGAGACTCCGTCTCAAAAAAAATTGTATTCCCCTTTTGTAGAAAACTTCGATGGGACAGCAAAGCATAAAGAAAAAAGCCAGAGGCTGGGCACGGTGGCTCATGCCTGTAATTCCAGCACTTCGGGAGGCCAAGGCAGGGGGATCACGAGGCTGAGGCAGGAGAATCGCTTGAACCCAGGAGGCAGAGGTTGCAGTGAGCCAAGATTGCACCACTGCACTCCAGCCTGGGCAACAGAGCAAGATTCAGTTTCAAGAAGAAAAAGAAAAAGGCCAGAAATCCCTGAAATCCTACTCCTCAGAAATAGCGATGGGGCTCACATTTAGCAGTCCATCTCAATCCAGTCTAGAACGGCACTGGGGCTTGAATTCTGGCCCTGCTACTATGGGTTCTTGGGCAAGTCACTTTGCCTCTGAAGGCGTCAGTTTCTTTATCTGTAAAATGGGATTATTCAGACTGGCTTGGCAGAGATGTGGTGAGGATGACATGAAATCAAGCACTAATCCAGGGTCTGGCATACAGTAGGCACTCAAAAATTTCTTTAGGGCTTTACAGTGCACACCTGAGGTTTATAGAAAGTTCTCTCTCACACTCTCTTGGCCCTTGTCCTTCCTGGAATTTTTGGGCATCTTGAGAACTTCCTTGATTTTCCTATGGCAGCCATGAAGCCACAGTGGCTTTTGGTGGGTCCATTATTTCTCAGAAGGTGCTTGAAGAGGCAGAAGGTTCTACTGGCCTCTAACCATCTCTGATTGCCCCTTCCCTTCCCTCCTGCCCTCCAAGCCAGAGAATCTGCTGTACTACAGCCTGGATGAAGACTCCAAAATCATGATCTCCGACTTTGGCCTCTCCAAGATGGAGGACCCAGGCAGTGTGCTCTCCACCGCCTGTGGAACTCCGGGATACGTGGGTGCGGAGGGCCCTGGGCTGGGGCTGTGGTGGTGGTGGGTGGGGGGAACCAGGAGGTGAATGGCAGAGATTTGTCCACACCATGTCCTCTTCCCTCCATAGCCCCTGAGGTCCTGGCCCAGAAGCCCTACAGCAAGGCTGTGGATTGCTGGTCCATAGGTGTCATTGCCTACATCCTGTAAGTGGGGCTTGGCCATGGTAGGCTGTGGCTCCAGAGTTGTCCTCTCGCGCCTGCTTTCCTCTCTTCCTCTCTTTGCTATTCCTTCCTTCCTCCCTCCTTCCCCTTCTTTCCCTTTCTTTCTTCCTTCTACCAATCAATTACTAATATTACTTCATTCAGTAGATACTATATTTTAGGCACTGTGCCAAGCACTGGGGACTTAGCAGAGAACAAACCAGACAAAGTGCCTGCCCTCAGGGAGCTTTCTTTCTAGTAGGAAAGACAGCCAATCAAGAAGTAAATAAATCTACAAAATAATGTCAGGAGATAAAAATAAATGCTGTGTAGTGACACATGGCTATGACATACATACATACATACATACATACATATATACTGTGGAGAGAAACCAAGCAGGGATAGGGAGATGGGGGTGATGCCATTTCAGTAGGGAGCTCAGGGAAGGGCTTGCTGTGGAGGTGATGTCTCAGTGGTGAGGGAGCCAGACATTCAAGGTGTGGGGAAAGAGTGTTGTAGGCAGAGGCAATGGCAAGTGCAAAGGCCCTGAGGAGGGCAAGATGGCAATACATTCAAGGAACAGGAAGGACAATGTAGCTTGAAGGGGAGTGAGCAGGCAGGCAGGGCTGTGTAGAGTTTCCATGGGGAACTCCTTCCTGTGTGTCCTGCCTGACTCCTGGGACTGCCCCAGCGCTCCACCCTGCAGCCAATTGGTGCACCTGAAAGTGGAAACGAGGATGAGTTTCTCCCTGCCCAGGCTCTGCGGTTACCCCCCCTTCTATGACGAGAATGATGCCAAACTCTTTGAACAGATTTTGAAGGCCGAGTACGAGTTTGACTCTCCTTACTGGGACGACATCTCTGACTCTGGTATTTGGGGCTTTTTCCTTTTCCCCGGGCCCTGCCTCTGGTTCTTCCCTCACCTGCTTTGGGGGTGGTCTCCCTCCTGCCTTCCTTCTGTCCGATTCTCCAGTGCCACACTACGAGCTGTCTTTGAAACCAGACACCCCACCCTGGGCGCTTCCCTCTGCTTGGCTCCTAGAGTGAGAAACTTTAGGCATTCATTTGTTCAATCTTCAAACAGTCTATTAGAAACTTTTCCCCTACTGACTTCTAATGCCTAAAACACCACCATAAACATTATCATCCCTCCTTTTGTGCCCCCTATTAAGAAGCAAACCTGTGAAGCTACTATCAATTGTTTATGCATGCGTATAAATTCACTGAGATTACTCAAGAACAAGGTTTTTTTTTATTTTTATTTTTTATTTTATTTATTTTATTTTTTGAGACAAAGTGTCGCTCTGTTGCCCAGGCTGGAGTGCAGTGACACGATCTTGGCTCACTGCAACCTCCACCTCCTGGGTTCAAGCATTTCTCCGCCTGTCTCCAAGTAGCTGGGACTTCAGGTGCACGCCACCACACCTGGCTAATTTTTGTATTTTTAGTAGAGATGGAGTTTTACCATATTGGTCAGGCTGGTCTCAAACTCCTGATCTCAGGAGATCCACCTGCCTTGGTCTCTCCACTGTGCCTGGCCAAGAACAAATTTTTCTTAAGAGAGAAAGGAAAGAGCTGGAAGGCTTGGGGTGGGGTGGGAGGGTTTGAAGAAGAGCACAGGTAGGGTGGGGTAGGGCATGTCTTGTTTTGATGCCAGGCCAGACCTGAGGGAGTGGGTATGATCTTGACAGGCACTACCATGCCATCACTGTCTTTGCTTTTGTCTTGGGGGTTTAGCCAAAGATTTCATCAGGCACTTGATGGAGAAGGACCCAGAGAAAAGATTCACCTGTGAGCAGGCCTTGCAGCACCCATGGTGAGAATTCACACAAGCTGTGAGCTGGGTGGGATATGGGGCCCCCAGGTCTGCCTCTGCCCTCACAGGCCACCCATCACAACCTCATTCTAGGATTGCAGGTGACACGGCTCTAGATAAGAATATCCACCAGTCGGTGAGTGAGCAGATCAAGAAGAACTTTGCTAAGAGCAAGTGGAAGGTGAGTCCGTATCCCTAGTTCTGGCCCCAGCCTCCCCAGGACTCCACCCCATCCCTACCCGTGCTCAGCTTGCACAGCACCTAGCACCAAGCTAGTAATACAGTAACTGCCTAGGGATCCTTACTGAAGAACTTCATTCATTCAGCAAACACTCCCAGTATCTTCCCTTTTCCAGAGAGGTTCCCTCACCTCCAAGTCTTGAGGGAGAAGCTATAATTCTTCAGGAGGCATCTAATTCAGCCTATGGGGTCCGGGAATGATCATAAATGTGGTGATGACCTGACAGAGCTGTCAGTGAAGTAGGAATGTGGAATAATGTCTGCAGCCATTCAGGGACGTGCCAGTGCTAAGCCTGGCCAGACAGGAGGGCCTGAGGGGACTGAGAGGCAGGAGCCCAGGTTGGAGAGGCAGATAGGGGCCAGGCCTCTTAGGGCCTCAGATGCCACAGAGGAGCACCAACTTGATCCTGAGGGCACCGAGGAGCCCCAACAGAACCTTAGGCAAGAATCTGCTGCATAGAAACAGCTCTCAGGGCTGGGCAAGGTGGCTCATGCCTATAATCCCAGCAGTTTGGGAGGCCGAGGTGGGCAGATCACCTGAGGTCAGGAGCTTGAGACCAGCCTGGCCAACACGGTGAAACTCTGTCTTTACTAAAAATACAAAAATTAGCCACACATGGTTGTACGTGCCTGTAATCCCAGCTGCTCGGGAGGCTGAGGCAGAATTACTTGAACCTGGAAGGTGGTGGTTGCAGTGAGCCGAGATTGTACCACTGCACTCCAGCCTGGGTGACAAAGTGAGACTCCCTCTCAAAAAACAGAAAGAGCTCTCATGATGCAGAGAATGGCATGGAGTAAAGACTGGGTGACCCATTAGGAGGCTGTGAAAGAGATACAGGCAGAAGTTAAAGGTTTGGATCACAGTAGTAGCAGCAAGGGTGGAGAACAACGGTTGATCCAGGGGTCATTTAGGAGGTGGAACTAAGACGTGATGATGGAATGGACGTTTGGGGAAAGAGATGTCAAGGGCTGGCCCAAGCTTGTGGTTGTGAACAGAGTGGGCAGTGGTACCATGACTGAGATGGTAATCACAAGGACAGAAACATGTCTTGGAGGCATGGTTTTAGTTTTAGACATGGTGAATTTGAGGGGTGTGTGGGACAGCTAGGTGGACGTGTTGACTAGAGACACACACACACACCTGGGCAAGTTACTGCAGCTTTCTGTGCCTCAGTTTGTTTCTTTAAAAATGGTGATATTAATTAGCTGAGTGTGGTGGTGCGTGTCTGTAATCTCAGCTACACAGGAGGCTGAGGCAGGAGAACTGCTTGAACCTGGGAGGTAGAGGTTGCACTGAGCAGAGATCATGCCACTGCACGCCAGCCTGGGCAACAGAGTGAGACTATGTCTCAAAAAAAAAAAAAAGAAAAAAGAAAAAGAAAATGGTGATATTAATAATACATACCTCAAAGACTTGTGAAGATTAAGTGAATTACTATGTAAAGTGCTTAGAGCAGTAGCTGACATACAGTGCTATATTGTGTTTGCTATTACATATTAATATGAGTTATGTATCTTTTTTTATATATACATATATTTAACATATGTGCATGTGTGTATAAATATATAATAAAGCCTTGTAGTGGTTTTTGAGGGGCTTTTGGGGAATCAATAAAATAACATCTGAATGAAAATAACAGAACAATTGCAAGAATCCCACTGTGCCCCTGCCCCATGACTTCTGACTCTCTCAAAAGTCCCTTCTTCCCTCTGCCTACAGCAAGCCTTCAATGCCACGGCTGTGGTGCGGCACATGAGGAAGCTGCAGCTGGGCACCAGCCAGGAGGGGCAGGGGCAGACGGCAAGCCACGGGGAGCTGCTAACACCAGCGGCTGGGGGTGAGGAACAGGCTCTGCAGAAGGGCATGGGTGGTTCACGAAGAGGCACCTGGGCTGGAGGGGAGGGCCTGCCCCTGTGGCCAGCTCTGTTCTCTCTTCCCATGCAGGGCCAGCAGCTGGCTGCTGCTGTCGAGACTGCTGCGTGGAGCCGGGCCCAGAACTGTCCCCAACACTGCCCCGCCAGCTCTAGGGCCCTGGACCTCGGGTCAGGATCCCCTATGTGGGAGGGCTTGAGGGCAGCCTGTTCCCCTTCCCTCCCAAAACTGGGAGTTTCTCTGCCCTGTCCTCTCCTCACCCACTTCCCCAGCATTCCTCACTGCATTTTCCATACAAATGTTTCTATTTTATTGTTCCTTCTTGTAATAAAGGGAAGAAGATAAAACCATCGTTGGCTCTGTTTCCCCAAATAGCCACCACCCCACCGTGTACAAACTGACTGCTTGATTTGGGGGTACCTGGCCCTTGAGGTAGTTGCAGGGAGGCCCCTCCCCACCATGAGACTGGGTAGGGATGGGGAGACAGAAGTAGGGAATGGAGAGGAAGGTGCTTGGGGAATTCCTTTGTCCAGGGCGCACCATCTAGTCTTCTGGCCTTTTGGAACCTTTTCTGCGCTTTGCTGGTGCCTCCTGAGCACGGCGGGATTGACGCAGGTCAGCACTGAACAGCACCTGTAGGAGGGTGGAGTCTGCATAGGGAGGAGGGTACACTGCGGTGGGGGCTGGTGGGACTAGTGACAGTGTTGGGAGGTGGAAGAGTCCATGGAGAACAGGGCCAAAGGCAACGAGAGTCCACTGGAGTTGGGACGGCTGGCTGGAGAGTCCTTTAGGGCCACCTGGGGTGGTGGTGGTGGAAGAGTCCACTGGGTTAGGGCTGGAGGAGAAGTCCTATGGGGTCTGGGCTGGAGAAGAGGAAACCCAAGTATACTCACTGCTTGTGCCCAGCCAGCATAAGGTCCCCACAGGTTCCGGAAAAAGTTTCCTAAATCAGAAGTGATGAGACTGTTATCTGACCCCTTCTGTGACCCATCAACAGAGGTAGGGTCTGAGAGAGAGGTGACTAAGAGAGAAGTTTCTACCATCCCAGCCCACTGCCAGCCCCTGCAGCCCATTTTCTCTCCTCACCCAGTTCCTTGTTGGTCTGGGGGCTTGGGCCCTTTGCCTGGGATGTGGTAGGGTGCCAGCTGTAGTCACGTTGGGCAATCTGCCACATGTGGACATCCACAGGCACAGCCTGGGGCTTGTCTAGGGCCATCAGGCAGATGCAGTCAGCCACCTTTGACAGACACAGAATGAGTCCTTGAGGAAGGAGGGCAGCATCCGACCAGCATCTTGCTTACAGCCCCAAAGCCAGCTGCTTTCTCGTTCACTCTGGGGTTACTGTTGTTCTATATTCTCAATCAATAAATACTATCTATAAATACACTTTGTTTTTAGAGATGGAGTCTTGCTTTGTTGCCCAGGATGGAGTGCACTGGTGCAGTCTTGGCTCACTGCAACCTCCACCTCCCAGGTTCAAGCAATTCTCCTGCCTCAGCCTCCCACCACATGTGGCTAATTTTTGTATTTTTAGTAGAGACAGGGTTTCACCATGTTGGCCAACCTGGTCTCAAACTCCTGACCTCAAGTGATCCACCTACCTCGCCCTCCCAAAATGCTGGGGTTACAGGTGTGAGCCGCCATGCCCAGCCTATGAATACACTGAAATAGCTGTTAAAAAAAAAGCTGGTACTGGGTGAACACCTATGTGGGCCAGGTTCTTATCATAACCTGGGAAGACGGTATTACCACACCCATTTTACAGACAAGAAAACTGAGGCTCTGAAAGGTGAAGTGACCTGGCCAAAGTCACATGGCTGAGAATAGGCAGAACCAAGATTTCTTTTTTTTTTTTTTTTTTTTGAGACGGAGTTTTGCTCTTGTTACCCAGGCTGGAGTGCAATGGCGCGATCTCGGCTCACTGCAACCTCCGCCTCCTGGGTTCAGGTGATTCTCCTGCCTCAGCCTCCTGAGTAGCTGGGATTACAGGCACACGCCACCATGCCCAGCTAATTTTTGTATTTTCAGTAGAGACGGGGTTTCACCATGTTGACCAGGATGGTCTCGATCTCTTGACCTCGTGATCCACCCGCCTCGGCCTCCCAAAGTGCTGGGATTACAGGCTTGAGCCACCGCGCCCGGCGGCAGAACCAAGATTTAATGTTAGGCTATAGTCCAGAGCCCAACAAAAAAATTCTTTAAGCAAAAATTAATTTCTTAAACTACAGAGAAGCGTAAAGTGAAAAAAAAAAAAAAAAAAAAGTTTGGTGTGGTGGCTCATGCCTGTAATCCCAGAACTTTGGGAGGCCAAGGCAGGCGGATCATGAGGTCAGGAGATGAAGACCATCCTGGCCAATATGGTGAAACCCCATCTCTACTAAAAATATAAAAATTAGCTGGATATGGTGGCATGTGCCTGTAATCCCAGCTACTTGGGAGGCTGAGGCAGAAGAATTGTTTGAACTTGGGAGGTTGCAGTGAGCCGAATCTAGCCTGGCAACAAAGCAAGACTCCGTCTCAAAAAATAGACAAATGTCTAATTTCCAATCATTTTATTGCCAGTTAATCCTATTGACATCAAACAAAAGTTTTGTCAGTACATGTAATTTTATGAAAGGAACAAAATGTGGCCAGGAGCAGTGGCTCATGCCTGTAATTCCAGCACTTTGGGAGGCCAAAGCAGGAACACTACTTGAGGGCAAGAGTTTAAGACCAGCCTAGGCAACATTGTAAGAGCCTGTTTCTGTAAAAAAAAAAAGAAAAAAAAAACCCTGAAAAGGAGAAATATCTTCCCATTTGTCTCCCCAAAGGAAATTACTATTTAGTTTAGCTTCCTGCAATTTCCTTCTGGAAATTTCTGCATATATATAGAGCCATATATGTGTTACATCTGAAGAAATGGTCTTTCTAGAAATTCATTCAAAGGGCTATATCCTTTCCACTCTTTCTGCACTCTGCTTTTTTCTCTCATAAAACATCTACTGGCCGGGCATGGTGGCTCACGCCTGTAATCCTAGCACTTTGGGAGGCTGAGGTAGGCAGATCACCTGAGGTCAGGAGTTTGAGACCAGCCTAACATGGAGAAACCCCGTCTTTACTAAAAATACAAAATTAGCCAGGTGTGGTGGCACATGCCTCTAATCCCAGCTACTTTGGAGGCTGAGACAGCAGAATCACTTGAACCAGGAGGTGGTGGTTGCAGTGAGCCAAGATTGCATCATTGCACTCCAGCCTGGGCAACAAGAGTGAAACTCGGTCTCAAAAAAAAAAACAAAACGAAAAAAACAAACAAAAAACCCCACATCTACTTATATCCTTTCTCCTTCCTGCTCTACCTCGGAAAGCCGAGCCTGCACCCAGCTCCCAGGCTTGGCTCATTTCCTGCTCTCTTCTCAATGTCAGTGGAGAGGGCAGCTCCTACCCCGAGGCCTCACCTTGGTGCCCACTCCGGGCAGGGTGCAGAGGGCCTTGTGGGCCTCCTCATAGGAGGCCTCTCGTAGCTGCTGCAGCCAGGCTAGCCCACCCTGTTCTTCCAGGATGGCTCGGGCACTGGCACTCACGTAGCGGGCACGGTAGCCCAGGCCCAGCTTCCTGAGGTGAGCCTCCACATCTGGCCCTGTGAGGAGTGAGGAGAGCAGGCATCAGACATCTTCAAGTTCTTCCTGTCCTTGGGCTAGTATGTGAGCCCTCCACCTCACAGGAGTGCTTTTCCCAGGTACTCCTCCTACCTCCCCACGCTCTATGGGATAGTGGACACTTTTATGTGCAAGGGAAAATAAGGCATGGGTTCTGTCCCTCTACAAATGTTTTCTGAGCACCTACTATGAATTGGCCACTGGTCTAGTCCAGGTCTAGTCCAGGGACTAGGAGCCCAGGTCTAGTCCAGGGTCTGAGGACTTGCTGCCCTGGAGGAGATCCTCAACTGAGTTCCTTAACCTTTCCAAAAAAGTGTTCACACTCGTGATCTAAAAAAATAACCACAATCTAGCAACAGCTTCTATGATCAAGTGCTGGGCATCAAGCACTGGCAACATGCTTCAGATACATTATCATGCTTACGTTTTCCAAGAACCCCATGGACAGTACTGCTGTTTTCCCATTTTACAGGTGGAAAAAATGAGGGCTTACAAGAGGTTAACTTACTTAAGAAAGGACAAGGTGGAGATAAGATCTTGCACTCAGGTCTGGGACACCAACATCTGTGCTTTTTCTTTTTTCTTTTCTTTTCTTTTTTTTTTTTTTTTTTTGAGACAGGGTCTCCTTCTGTCACCCAGGCTGGAATGCAGTGGCATGATCTCAGTTCACTGCAGTCTTGACCTCCTAGGTTCAGGCGATCCTCCCACCTCAGCCTCCTGAGTAGCTCCTACAGGCTTGTACCACCATGCCTGCCTAATTTTATTTATTTTTTATAGAGAAGAGGTCTCACTATGTTGCCCAGGCTGGTCTCAAACTCCTGGGCTCAAGCCATCCTCCTGCCTTGGCCTCTCAAAGTGCTGAAACTACAGGCATGAGCTACCACACCTGGCTAATGCCAGTGCTCTTAACCCATTACACTACACTACCTCATGATTGCTTTATTCATCCCCCAAACCCTTCTAGATAGAAACTGTTATTCCCATTCTATGAACAAGCTCAGAGAAGCCTGGAGAGGTAAATGATTTTCTTGAGGTCTTATGACTAAGCCAGGAGCTGAGACTCAAGAATAGGTTTCTAGGCCGGGCGCGGTGGCTCAAGCCTGTAATCCCAGCAATTTGGGAGGCCGAGGCGGGTGGATCACAAGGTCAAGAGATCGAGACCATCTTGGTCAACATGGTGAAACCCCGTCTCTACTAAAAATACAAAAAAAAAAAATAGCTGGGCATGGTGGTGCGTGCCTGTAATCCCAGCTACTCAGGAGGCTGAGGCAGGAGAATTGCCTGAACCCAGGAGGCGGAGGTTGCGGTGAGCCGAGATCGCGCCATTGCACTCCAGCCTGGGTAACAAGAGTGAAACTCCGTCTCAAAAAAAAAAAAAAAAAAAGAATAGGTTTCTTTTTGTTTGTTTGAAATGGAGTCTGGCTCTGTCACCCAGGCTGAAGTGCAGCAGCATGATCTTGGTTCACTGCAGCCTCCTGCTCCCAGGTTCAAGTAATTCTCCTGCCTCACCCTCCTGAGTAGCTGGGATTACAGGTACCTTCCACCACATCCAGCTAATTTTTGTATTTTTAGTAGAGATGGGGTTTTACCATGTTGGCCAGGCTGGTCTTGAACTCCTGACCTTAGATTATCTGCCTGCCTCAACCTGCAAAAATAAAGGGATTACAGGCATGAGCTACCACGCCTGGCCAGGAATGGGTTTCTAAGCACCAAAAACTCTCCTTCTTTGAGGCATGCTGTCTCTTTGTCATGCAGTTCCCAAATACTTGTCCTAGTTTGGTTCTCACATCTGCCAACTGAAACACTTGTCTCCATAAAATATTTGTCTTACAGGGCTGCTGTGAAGAACACAGGTGTTCTTGGATGCAAAACTGTCCTGTTCACTACAATGATACCAACTTGAATTATACATGTACTTCCTGTGTGCCAAATACTGTGTTAGGTTCGGTATGTATATTCCTCATGACAACTCCAGTAATAGCATAGGTAGGTGCCATTATTATTCCATTTCACAGATGAAGAAACTTTAGTACAAAGATACTAAATAATGTGCCCAAGTGAGAGTTGGGGTTCAGAACAAGGCATGGGCCTGTCCCCAGAATGCATGCTTTTAAGCCCAAACTACTGTACATTCTACACAGATGTATTTCTGATGAGGCATTGAACCCATTGGGCAAAAAGCAGAGACCAGCCGGGCGCGGTGGCTCAAGCCTGTAATCCCAGCACTTTGGGAGGCCGAGGCGGGTGGATCACGAGGTCGAGAGATCGAGACCATCCTGGTCAACATGGTGAAACCCCGTCTCTATTAAAAGTGCAAAAAATTAGCTGGGCATGGTGGCACGTGCCTGTAATCCCAGCTACTCAGGAGGCTAAGGCAGGAGAATTGCCTGAGCCCAGGAGGCGGAGGTTGCGGTGAGCCGAGATCGCGCCATTGCACTCCAGCCTGGGTCACAAGGGCGAAACTCCGTCTCAAAAAAAAAAAAAAAAAAAAAAGCAGAGACCAGTGAGGTGCTGACATTTTAGGCATGCATAGGGAAGATGAGTAACTGGGGCTGATCAGACCAGGCAGGGCAGTTCTGGATGGGGGAAATGTTTGGGAAATGTTTACCATCTCAGGAAGCCTTGAGATGGTAACCAGGGGAGAAATGAACAGATCCTGAAAGCTGATAGAGGGTCTAGGGACAGGGGACCTACCTACTTACCAGCCAGGGCCTGCAGGCTGGGGAAGCCATAGTAGGTGACATCATCAAGCTGGATGAGCCGAGGTCCAAAGGCCTGGCACAACCGCTCCACCATACCAGTGATGCGGGCGATATTGTTGTTGGAGGAACAGATAAAAGAGAAAAGGCACTCGATGGGGTCTTGTCGCAGCAGTCGCACACCTGGAGACCAGAAATGCAGGGGGTAAGAGAGATACCTGCTGTTGGGCATGGCCTCTTCCCACCCAAAGGCAAGATCCTAGGTACCAAAGCTCCAGGGGGATCCCAGGAGAATGATGGTCAGCACTGTTATAGAAAGTAACACCAGACCTCTCATTCCTCACAGCATCTTGTGAGGGCTGAGTTCCCATCCCATTCCACAGATAAAGAGGCCACAATGTAAGCTCCATGAGAACCGGCATTTGGGTCCGTTTTGTTCATGGGTGTATCCCCAGTCACACAGCAGATGCCTTGTATATATTTACAGCATGAATGAAGTCACTTGCCCTAGGTCTCACAAAAAGGAATGGGCTCAAAATCCTTGTCACTTCCCTGTGGTGATTAGCAGGATAATAATAATGGTAATACTAATTACCATGGGCCTGGCATTATTCTGAGCACTTCTATGTATTAGCTCCTTAAATCCTCATAAAAGCCTATGAAGTAGATAAAATCCCTACTTTACAGGTGGTAAAACTGAGTCATAGAGAAGTAACTTATGTCCAAGAACCCTAGCCTCAGCCCAGGTCCTGTACTTACCTTGGAATTTCTGAGCCACCTCTTGGAAGTGGGAGTCCACAGAACCCCAGTGGTGATACAGTTGAGTCAGGGTGACATCTAGCTGAAAGTACTTGCACACGGCCTCCAGCTCATCTGGTGTGGGCCTGCCAGCCCGGCTCTTGTCTCCTCGGTACACGGTGCAGTGGAGCTGCTCCTCAGTCTGAGTTAGTGTCCATACTTGATCCGCTAGTACACCACTCCAGTGTGCAGGGCTTTGCTCCCTCCACCTGAGCCCCAGGCACACAACAGCCCTGGCACTCAATTTCCTTTCTTGCACCCTTTGGGGTCCCTCCCATCCTACAATCGCTCCGGGTACAAAACTGATGTACTAATTGCAAAGTAAAAATGCTATCTTCCAGCCTGGGCAACATGGCGAAACCTCACCTCTACAAAAAATACAAAAATTTAGCCGGGCATGACTCACACCTGCAGTCCCAGCTACTGGGGAGGCTGAGCCCGGGGGGTCGAGGCTGCAATGAGCCTCTCTGCACTCCAGCTTGGGCGACAGAGTGAGATCCTGTCTCAAAAAAAGAAAAAGAAGTGCCATTATCTTCTACATCGGTTATACCGCTTGATCCTTACAATATCACTGCACAGACATATTAAAGGTAACAGGCTAGCCACGCTTGCTTGTTTCCTCTTTTACCCCGGGGTTTCTTCCATCACCCCCCAAATTCCTTTGTACCCCATGCCGGGTAGAGCTGAGGCGGCAGGAGCCAGTCCCAGACCTCCCAGGTGAAGTTACTCACCGGAAGGACTGTCCAGAAGGCAGAACCAGGTCCAGGCGCAGCTCAGAGCGAGGGCAGGGGATGGAGGCCCACAGAGCAGGGGCGGAGGCTAGAGTACGATGCCCAAAGCGCCCGGGCAGAATCCCGCGAGCCGGCATTTCCACAGCAGGCCCCGCCCCCTAATGGCCCCGCCCCCTCAGAACCGACCTAGTCCCCGCCCAAAATCCCGCCCAGACAAGGACCACGCCCCTTAAGGCCTCACCCACAGGTTCCTGTTTAACAACCTTCCCTATTTCACTGATTCCTCCACCTCCGGCAGGCTCCGCCCTTTGCGAGTTACGGAAGCCCCGCTTCGTGACCCAATCCTCCGGCTTTCCTGAGGCGCAGGTCCCGCCCCCTCCTTCTGACGCATCGTCTCCCGCCCCACGGACTCTGGACGCTCAGAGATGTGTTCTGGGTTCTCCAGTGGCCGCCTCGCCACCACCGGAAGTAGGGCTCAAGCACCGCTTATTTGACCTAGAGGTAGCCAATCCTAGGAGGAGGTGGGAGACGCCAATGAGAAATCGGAATGGGCGGGCCGTTCCGAAGCGCCCGCGCGGTTGGCGCGGACTGGGCTGCCTGCCCGCTATTGGCCTTTCACCCTCCAGGATTGTCTCCACTCGGGGTGCTAACGAGTTCCACCCAGGGCCCCGCGGTTGCTCAGGGCTGTCCGTCCTCAGAGCCACGTCCTTCCCTAGCCCATCCTCAGTGAGCCGTTCTCCCCCGAGCCTCTCCAGTCTCCGGCGTTCGCCCTCCTCGGGCCGCCTCCCTCAAACCCTGTCTTCACGAAGAACCGGAGCGAACACAACTCCGGCCCCACAGCCCTTGGGAGGTATCTCCGGAGTATTCTTCAGTGCCCGCCCGCTAAGTTCATCCCCTTCAAGCCCTTTAGGCGTTCTGTGAGACCTCAGGACTTCAGAGGCGTCCCTCGGATTGTCCCGCCTGCCGCCACAGCTGCTGCCTGCCTTCCTGGGCATCCCATACCCCATCTGCTCATGCCCTCCTGGGAATGGGGCCTGTGACGAGGGCTTGTCTGGGCTTGGGCCCAGAAGCCCATCAGGTTGAGTCCAAGTCCCAGTGTGTGGCCCCGAGGTAGCCCGCCTCGCCCAGCCGCCTGGAACAGGAGGATGGATTATTTAATTTTAGTCTTTCCTTCTGGAGGAAGACGTGAAAAAGGAGCTAGGAGACAGAACTTTAATCTGAGCCATTCTCACTTTCTAGCATAGGGATCTGGGGTTGCTGTATCTGAACTATCACACTGCAAGTTTTTTGTTTGTTTGTTTGTTTGTTTTGAGATGGACTCCCTCTGTCGCCAGGCTGAAGTGCGGTGGCAACATCTTGGCTCACTGCAACCTCCACCTCCTGGGTTCAAGCAGTTCTGCCTCAGTTTCCTGAGTAGCTGGGATTACAGGTGCGTGCTACTACGCCAGCTAGTTTTTGCAGTTTTATTAGTGATGGGGTTTCACCATGTTGGCCAAGATGGTCTTGATCCTGACCTCATGATCTGCCCGCCTCGGCCTCCCAAAATGCTGGGATTACAGGCTTGAGCCACTGTGCCCGACCCAGACTGCAAGTTCTTGAAGGGCAACATCTGCAGCAGACTGACCCTACTGTCCCAGGCAGAGACCTAGCAGCGTGCACCGTGAGCATGGAATCAACATTAGACCAATGTCGTCATTGTCTCAGTGCCACTCCTCAGTGGCTGCAAGGCCTGGGCCACCCCCTCTTCCTGTGACTGTTCATATCTGTAGGCATGCCACCCACAGGTGCCTAGCAATTGGAAGGTATTCTTTCAATAAATGTCGGTGGAGTTGGGAAAGAAAATGCCAAAGTTGGGGGTCAGCAAAGAGCAACTCTCTCCAGCTCTGCTCTGTTTCCGATTAAGCAGTGGGGAAGGTCTCAGCTGTAGTGATGCTGAAGCATTTGGGCCACGCCACTGGCAAAGGACTTGAGGCCTCTGAGGCCCAAGAAGGAAATCGACAGTTGACTCTTTCCCTGGCAGTTCAACATACTGGTTCAAGAGCCAGCTTTACAAACAGACCTGGATTCCAATTCTAGCTCTGTTAACTTCCTAGTTGTAGGAACTTAGGCAAGGTAATTTTTCAAAACCTCAGCATCTTTGAGGAAGTAACTAGCTTATTATTATACTAATGTATAGTTATTGCAAGGATTACATAAAGCTTAGTGTCCAAAGGTGCTTAGTACAGGGCCTGCCACTCACTCCATGCATGGGCAATGGGAGCTTTTATCTGCTGTGTCTTGTAAATGTAGCACACACGGCAGTCAGCAACCACTTGGGCCCAATTATGTGTCATCCCTGGGGCACAAAGCCTCCCTTTGTATCCCTTTGCTCTAGCAGGAGGCAAAAACAAAGAACTCTAAATAGACAATTTATTTTCTAAGAATCAATATATTTTCTTCCTTTGAAATAAATACAAACCAGTTTGAAAGGTGGGGGAATCTATGGGAAAGAGAAGGGAAATGGGGACAGGCCCCAGTTTTTTTTTTTTTTTTTTTTTTTTTTTTTTAGTACCAAATGACTCTCGCGCGACCCGGAAACGCAGTTACAAATGAGAATAATTTAAATTCTCCGATAATTACAATATTTACAACAGCAGGGGAGGGAGTCACCTAGTGCCCCTCTTCCAGGCTGGAAGATGCCCGCTCACCTCACCACTGGTAGGGGCCTCAGGCCTCTAGGCAGTTATGGATTCTCCTGGCATGAGCAGGTGAAGGTGGTGGGAAGGCCTGTTTTATGCAGCATCCAAACTTTGGCCCACCACCCGCCCTCCAATGCCGTGAGGTCTCTGGAGCTTTTTCTGACCTGTGGGCCCTCTCTCTTCTTGCGCTGAACTGCCATTGGCCCTTGGAGTGTTCTGTACAGTCCAGCTGCACTTAGGGCAGGAGGGACCTCCCCCACCCAGCTTCCCCTGAGACTGGCCCCAAGACCAGAAATGAGTCAGTGCAGAGGCTGGTGCCACTCCAGGACAGTGAGCAAAGGGGAGGAGAGAGGTCACAGGGCACTGTAGGTTGGGCTGTGTTGGGCAGTATCAATCACTATCGCTGGTATCACTGCTCTGCTCGCCTTGTACCTTGCTGCGGTGCTGCAGAGCCCTGTGGTAGGCGATCTGTACTGACTTGCGGATGTTGGACTTGCGGCCCTCCAGCATCTTCTCCTTGTCTAGGTCCTGGTTCACACCCAGAGGAACCAGCTTGGTCCTGGGCAGCCACTGCCTACAGGACAAGGTTAAGATCAAATAAATCATCTCAGGGAGAATGAGCACCAGCCTTCCTCCTCTATTCACTCAAACACACCACCCAAGCACCCACTCTGGCCAGACTATGTGATGGTCCCTGCCCTCAAAGGACTGTTCATGGTCTAGTGATGAAAGAGCCCAGTCAACAGTTATACTGCATGGTGGCGGTGGGAGGGTAATCACAGGATATTTATGGGTACAAAAAGGAGGTGCCCTGACCTCACCAAAAATAGCTACTCTGTGCCATAGGCTCCAGGCAGACTTTACTGACATTGAATACCCTCTGCAGACAATTAACAAAAAGACTACATGTGTAAATGTGACAGGACAGGGATTCAGAGCCTGAATGTTTATGCCTGCTTCATCCTCATTTTGTCACCGTGGACGCAGAGGTGGGAAAACTAAGTCTAGAAGCCATCTGAGTCTGGGTGGGAGCCACCTCTATATTTGTCATAGTCTCTGATGGTCCTTTGGTTTCTAGCTACAGCTGTTTGTCTGCTGCAGTCCACTCAGCCTCTCAGACTCATGGTCAATACACTCCTTTGCTCAAAAATCTGTCCTAAGTCCCTCCCCCACTGATTTTTTTTTTTTTGTGATAGCCCAGTCTGCCTATTGCTGGAGTTTCTTGGCAGTCTGCCCCCTTACCACACAGGGCTACATCTGTGGCTACTTACCAGGTTCGTTTGTTGTCAAAGAAGAGGACGAGGTAGAGATGCTCTCGGGCTTCCTGGGTCATCTGCTCCCCAAGTTTCAGCACCTCCAGTGGGGGCACAGGAATGGGAACCCCATGGTGAAACATACCTTCTCGGGGCATCTTTGGATCAATGATCTGAGGGTATAATAAGAGTCTAGTTTGGTTCAGTCCACTTCCTCCCAAGGCTTGCCCTCCCCAAGAACTTGAAAACTACTGAAGTGAGGACAGAAAAGTTATCATGAAACTAGAACTGCAGTGCTGACCCTTGGCTTCTTTCTGTGCTAAATTATTTCAGAGCCCAAGGACCAAAGAGAAGAAAAAGGGAAAGATGGAGAAACTGGGTGGAGCTTCTAAGTGGTACTCAAGCTGTATCTGCCCACCAGACTACCTTGCCAAGAAACTATGCCTCACAGCTCAGCAGGGAGTAGGAGAAGTCTGCTGTGAATCTGTCTTCTGGGACTGGAAAGCAAGGGGCATGGTAAGAGAAGTGGAAGCGTACCAGAGCTGGGTATGATGGATACCCTCGACATTTGGCCCACACGAGGTCCAGAGCATCCAGCGGGGAGTCCTCATCCTCTGACAGCCAACCAGCTCCCCGGCCCAGACTCTTCCTTACCACTTCACAGGAATGGGAGAGAGGGGGTGGATCAGCAGCTGGGGGGCTGGCGAGGCCCTGACACTGGGTCCCCAGCATCCCTGGCCTTGGGCAGGGGAACTTACTGCTGTGGCCCACGCCGCGGCCAGTGCTCACGGAGTAGGCCTCATTCTCAGTGCCTGAGGTATCCTCACTGCTGTCCTCTGGGAAAGTGCCCCGAGAAAAGGAAGGTTTGCCCCGGCCTTGTTTTGAGGGTGTTGTGCTGTGGACAAAACAATGGGAGCTCAGCTCAAAGGAGGGGAAGAATGGGAACAACAGGGTATGTGCCCTCTGCTCTTTTAAACTCCCAGGGTCTGAGACTTTTGGAAAGCAGAGGCTATTTGAGAATTTCAAATTCAAACATCCACAGGGGCTAGGTTGGTGACCTGACTGAGGTGGGTTAGACGGAGCAGTGGCGGGTAGGAGTGCATACTCTAATCATCACCTTAACCCAGGATGGTTCTCTCTGTTCCATTAATGGTAACACCAATTTATTTATTTTGCAGAGAACCTTGAGTTTGAGCCATCTTAATCTAGACTGAGATGGCTGCCACCCCACTTCCAACTTCTAGGGAAACCTAGAAAGGCCCAAGAGCCCTGGAAGGAAATCCCGAGGCTGGCCTTGATCTGGAGGGCTGGTACCTGGTCCGGTCTGAGGCAGCGCTGCTACTGCTACTGCTGCTGGACTCAGAGTCTGAGCTGCTCCGGGGAAGGCTGCAGTCATTACGGTATACCAAGAAACTCTTCTTCACTGGCTGGTTTCCACTGCTGAAGCCATTGGCTGGTAAGTCTTGGTTGAAGGGAGGGGGAGGAGGGAAGGAACCGGTCAGGAAGATGTAGATCAGAGATGACATGCAGGGT